GGGAAAGAGCAAATGCTGCAAGGGGGCGGATCACGAGAAGCCCCACCAAACCCCGACTGTGCAGCCCATTCCTCATTCCTAAATGTGCTGGGTAATAGTCCTGCATGAGGTTAGACCCTGGAGAGGGTCCTCCAGCCTTTCTCCTTGGAGTTGCAATGAGTACAGCAGTGCCAGCAGGCTCTGTACCCAAATACTGCCTCCAGTATAGCATGCATAAAGCCCTGCTCACCCTATAGCTGCTAGGTAGCAAGGAATGGTCAAAAGCTCCTCCTTGGAGAGTCCCCCAAGGCAGGAGAGTGATGGGTTGACGTCCCTCCTACCTGCAGACAAAAACCTCCATAGGCTGCTGGGTGTTGGGCGTCATTATCCAGGGCGCCATGCGGAAAACCACAGTATCCGTGAAAATTGGGGTGCCTGGTGAATTCTGAGAGGGGCAAAAACGCCAGGGAAAGGCTGTTGAAAACCCCACCATTGGGGGACTTTGCAGGGGATGGGGCAAACCCCACATACCTTATGGGGGACCTCCAGCAAGCTGACGCTGAAGGAAACCAACCCAGAGAAGCCCACATCAGGGAAAGCCAACCCTTCAACGTAGAAGGTGTTTTCTCCACCACCAACGTGGTCCAGCACGTAGGAGAGCTTGTCCGGTCCCAACACGGGTTTGTAGTGGGGGTGTGGGCCACTCCCTGGAGAAACACCAAAATACCCAACCCAAGACGGGGTGACCAACCTGTCCACCGGGATGGAAGGAGGCACCAGCAAGGAGGTGGCTGATGCCAGCGTGGTTTGCAAAGGAGTGGGCGTGCCTTCTCCTCTCTGGGGAACACACTTGATCTTCCTCATACAAAGAGGACTCTATACCCTCAGGCCCAACCCTTTCAAGGTGCATGGCTCGAGTTAAGCATCTAATGATATAGTTGGGTTCCCTGACCTGATTTTTGGCAGGGAGCTGCTGGAGATCCAGCTGCCAGGGTGTTCAAAGGCAAAACGTGCTGCCCAACAAGATGGGCTGCTTTGGTGGCTGGGTCATCGCCCGTGCCAAAAAGGTGCCGGGAGCCACGTGGGAGTTACCCGCACCATGGGAATGTCAAAATTTCAGCAACCGTGCTGAGAAAAGCCTATTTTTAAATCCTTTTCCCCCTGATTTTTCCCATATAACCCCATCTTCCAGAATAGCACAGGAGCCTTGGGGATAAATGAGTGTTTCCAGCAGTCGGAGGTGCCTAGTCCTTAGCCATGGTGAACAAAAAAAATTAGGGTTCACCCACCTCGGGGGCATGCACAGGTATCTGGGAAAGAAGGAAGGAAGGAATACTCACGGATAGCGTGGAAAACCCGCACTTTATCCGCGTCCGACTCTGGGACATGCAGGACCACCTGGTACTCAGCAAAGATAGCGCTGGGACCTTGAGTCCGCAGCAGCATGACAGACATGTCCTGAAGGTCTATGGTGGGGAAAAGATGGAGAGAGGGTACAGGAACAGAGGTGTTGCAAGTGGGAAACACACCGGTGAGATCTTTTGGGTCCCCTCATGCTGCAGATGACACCTCACCTGCAGTGGTCCGTATGTCCACCTCACTACTGTCCGTCCCCCCTGTGCCAGGGCTGTCCCGGTCGCAGTTGACCAGCAGTACGGCGCCTTGCCCATCTGGACCCCACGTCCACTTGGCCTAGAGGAGAAGCACCCAAAGGAAATGGGAGGAAGATTTCCCCCATCTCCACCTCCTCCCGGGCCGGGCAAAATCCCACCACCACGGCCACACTTGGAGGACAACCCACAACACGCTGTCAAGGCTGGTGGGGAGACAGCAGCGATGCTTTCAAGCCACTAAATTTCCTAACTTCAGCTTCCAGCAGAGCCAGAGACTATTTCAAACAGACCTTATCTTCTAACAAGCCAGAAAGTATCTGCCAGGCCTCATCTGAACAAACACTACGCCATTTCTAGAAATGCATCTCATCTCGATGTACAATTTGCGTTGCCGGTCGGGCTGCAGCTAATTACCCGGGTGTAAATGTTTGGGCATATGCAGATTTGTTGCCAAAGGGGTAAATCTCTGGCTGTTCACAAAACTTGCAGCTGACTCACTTAGTGGCATGTTTCAAGTCCAAAAAGGAAAAAAAGACAGAAGAGAAAATAAAGCAGAGTATTTTCTTCTTTATGATCCTTGGGGCCGGACTGGAGAGGCAGGAGATTTTGGCCCAGAATAAGAAAATAAAGTCTTTTCCTCTTCAATTAGTAGGCTGAGAATTTGCCATGTTATTTTCTCTAATTCAGACACCAGTGACACCACCCAAATCCTTCTCCCTCCTGGAGATTTTCGGGGAAGAGACGTGCAAGCGACTGCACCCTGCGTTGACACTCGGTACGTTGCCTACAGCAAAGCTCATTACCTTGTCCTTCCCTTTGCTCTTCACTCTGCCATTACGGCTCAAGTCCACATCCAGGGATACATCTGAAAAATCAAGAGAGAAAAGGATGCCACCTGGCAGGGGAACGAGCTCTCGATGGCATTTTGGGCTCATCCTCAGCATGAGTCACCCAACACCGACCCCACCTTCACGCCCCGAAGCTGCTCCAGACCCAATGTCTCCAGCAAAACATCGATAGAAAAACCAACCCGATGGCTTTTTCATGACTTTGCCCCTTCGGTCTCCAGCTATCTTCTCCCATCTTCATTCCCCCAGCAGGGACGTACCCACTTCATTCTGTGCTTTCACCAATTTCATGTGGTTTTTGTGAAGCCAAAACACAGTGGGGGCATGAAAGTCTTTTCACCATGGGTGAGTGGACACCAAAATAATTACTGGGGTTGATGCAAGATTTCAGAAGGACTTTCCTTTAAAGAGCTTTTCTTGGCCCAAATCTCTGCCTCTGCTGCAATAAAGCAGAGGTTTACCAGCGACCTCATCTAAACCCTACTTAAATCTGTACTAAGCCTATCTTAATACAGATACGCCTCCAAATGGAATATACCGCGTGTGGAGAACATGGGCTCTGAAGCAGAGATTGTCCTCCTCCTTGATGCAGAGAGGAGGACGTGGAGAAGCTGGAAATTAAGCACTGTATCTAAGCAAACGAAGAGCATTTGTAAGGTAGAAGCCCTGCGGACTGCGGTGGCCCCAGATGGCTCCAGCAGAGCCCATCAGGTATGGGACGTGGGAAACCATCAGACTCTTCAGGTGTAATTTTGGGAGATAAATGCATGACTTAAGGACACAGGTCTGACTGTCATGTGAACACTTTAGAAAATCCCAAATTTAGGGTAATTAATCCGTCCAAGTGGAAGGCTCTGCATCCAGACTGGTTGTCTAGACTCCCTTTGTAGTCAGCAGAAGAAAATAGGCATTTCAAGGGAATGATTCATCTCATCCTAAAATAGGTCAGACAGCTACACTTTGGTGCCTATTCCTCTCCACTAGCTGCAACGGAGGTCGAGGAAGGGGATGCCAGCCAAAGTTGGGTGAGATGGTCTCCTTTGGATCCTCTTCTGCCAACACAATGGTCTTGGCAAGCGGAAGAGGATGCTCGGTGTGTGCATTGGGTGGGGACACGGCCCAGCCTGTGTCTTTTTTGTACCATATAAGGCAGCATAATAACATTTTAATTATTTCCCTCTTGCTTGTCAGCATCAGTCAACACCCAAACCTTCATTGCACATCACAGATGGGCAGCCCGCGCCCCCCACTTAACTCCTGTCCCATGAACCCAACTAGATCTCAGCATCAGAAGGGGTTGGCCGGGTTTGGAAAAGCATTGTTGTAATACCTACCTACGCAGGTGAGATACAACCAAGCCACCGAAAGCTCATTGCCTTCCTGTCCATAGTACGAAATCTTAACCTGCGAAGACATCACCAGATCACAATCCAAGTCCCGTGTCCCGTCATGCTGAGTAGGTCTTCTCACTCATTGGGTTGACCAACCAACGCTATACAACTAGCTCTTGGAGGGTTCATCCAAGCCATTCTCCACTAATCATAGTTCAGCCAAGCCATTTCTGCCTGCTTCAGCACAAAAACACGCATGGAAAAAGCCAAGGCTGGAATATTTCTGCTGCCTGGCATGGAGTTTCTGACACCGGCTTTTGCGACCATCACTGTCTCATCTTTAGGGCACAAAATGTGATCTCCTTCTTCTTAGTTTCATTTGTCATATGTGATAATTACAGAATTCTGTTTAAGTTTGAGTTTTCTCCATGGAAATGAGCCTGATGTCAGCACTACCTAGAAATGCTCAAGACTGCCCATAATCTTCCCTTCTTCCCCAGAAAAATTTGACTTGTTTTTCCAGTTTCAGTGCATAAAAAGCAACTAACCTTATTGTCATTGACAGTCCTGCTGGTGACATCAATGGTCACTATAACCTCTATATCGGGATCCAGGGGCCATCTGGAGTCAATCATGGGTTTTGTAATCGGGCTGTGGATGATGTGGACCGTAACCGCAGAGGTGGCATGGACATCAAATGACGTGGCACCTTTGGGGGTAGATCTGAAACAGAGAGCAGCATTGGGTTATAGACCAAGTTGTCCCTCCTGTTCTCCTCTGTGGAGCCAAATACTTGAACCCGGAATTAAAATCCAGCCTTAACTGGGTGGAAAGGACTCAGAAACCATCTTCAGGTGATGAAACGCGTCGTCTGAGTTTTATATGTATTATCTTTGTGGCAGCATTGAGCAAGCGGAGCTCCCACTGTAGCTTTGGCACGTCCGTCCGTGGTTAAGCCTAGACTGTGAATCGCTGAAGTTTTGGCATCCAACCTCCCTTCACAACAGCAAGAAAACCACCAAAATTTCAGCATCCCATGACAAAACCCCAAAGAGCCAGGACAATTTTTTATGTCAGCCGACCAGGGAGATGGTTCCTGGCTATCATAGGACCATATCCTGATCCAAGAGATGCCCCAACTGGAGTAGAGCCTGAATCCGAGCATGGAGAACCCTCACCCCACCTGCATAACATTCCTCACCTTTGAAGTGCTGCCTACCTGCTCATTACAGCACCAGCACCTCCATCCCAGGAGCACGAGTGCTCCGACCTGTCTGCTGTCGGGAGCCAGCCTCCCCAGCCACACACAAAAAGTGACAGGGTGGTAAATTTTAACAGTGAGAATAAAAAAAAAAATAACACAGAAGAGATTTATTCCCGGTGTTGCTCTTGGCATGGCATCTCCGGTGCCTGCAGCAGCTTGTAAGGGGAGATTAAAGCATCGTCTCGCTTGCCACCCCTCATATCTAACATCATGCAACATCATAAATGCACCTTCACGCCATTTCACATCGTGACTTCTCAAATTTGTGTCTATTTGCCCTGATTTTACAGCCCTCACACCTCAGCATCACCACCAGATTCCCACCGTGCTCCATTTTCTGCCCCAAAACAGACCAAACCAGTCAAAGCTTGACACATCCATCACCGGGTTCCCCCCAGCCAGTACTCTCCAGGAAAAAAACGATCCCATTTTTTTACTTGAAAGTACATCCAACGCCTGCTGTTTTGGACCAAAGCTCAGATTTTGCTACTGAGGAGCCAAATCACTCCATTTTGGGGCTCGGGCCCCATGTTTAAATGGGACTGAGCTTGCTTTAAGTCCAAATCCAGAAAAAAATTTGTAAATAATAGGTTTTATATATTCCCACCTGGCTGAGGGGAAAATTAATACTTTTTTAGCTAAATCTGAAGCCCTTCAGGGGGATGACGGGACATCCTGGCCCAGCTCCAACCCACAACCCCGATAATTGCCCCGGATGCGATGCCGACTGGCTTGTCCTGTAGTCTCTATCATTATAAACATGATTTATTAAATACTGACAACATAACAGCAGGGTAAATACAGCCTCATATCTGGCCAATAAAGCAACCCCCCTATTTAATTCCAGAAAAATCTCTTTCTGTGAAATCGCCCATGCAAATCTCACTAGTGGATTTTTTCTGCCTGAGCCACATGTTTTATTCTTTACTGCATTCTAGCTCTGGCCAAGTTGTTCGTCTTGAATTGTTCTTGCCTAATGTTTTCACAGCCAGAAATAGATCCCGCTCAGCTGGGGTGTGCATGGGCTTTGCCTGCAAATCGTCATGGCTCGGCAACGCTTCGACGCCTTGCGTTTGCCAGAGTCAACGTCCCTCCTTTGGGTGCAGTTCCCCCTGGGACATCGTCCCCGAAAAACAGACCCAGCAGGACGTGTCCCCCATGCACCAAAAAAGCTTGCCAAATCCTTAGATGAACTCATGATGTGGGCTCAAAATGAGCTCAAATTTTCCCCCTAGCACCCATTTCTCCTCCAAATGAAGAGCAAAACCACCGTTGGGCTCCCCCAAAACCCATCAGCCCTATGCAAAACGATGGGGATACCCTGATCCCAGCCTTACCTGCGTGTATCAAGGAAGACCTCGGTACCCAACACGCAGACACTGTAGCTGGCGTGGCTGGTAGACATCTGCACGACGTGTCGTTTGGGCATGATGTGCCGAGGACGGCGGCCGCATGTGAAGGAAGCTGCTGTCTGGCTTTGTAGGTAAACCAGCACGACTGGATTAAAAGGCAGGGGAATTTAACTCCTCCTTCCCTCGATGACGGGGTTTAGCCAGGGGACCCTGCCGTCTCCACCTCCACCACCCAGCAAGCTGCCGCCCCACTCGGGGAGATGGTGGCGATAAGGCAGCCCCTGGGGGGGCTGGCAGATCTGGGGAGGGGACATGGGGCAGAGGGGCAGGACGGGGTGGGTGACACCCAGCCCTGCCCTGGGATGCTCGGCAGTGAGCTCTTTTGGGGCTTATTCTCACCTTTTTATTCCCTTATAGCTCCATATAAGGACTCCAAAGCTTAATGCATTAAACATTTCAACTCCTCCTGTTGTGCAATGTGGTTGTTTAGGGTTATTACAATACACGGTATCATTAAAATAAAGCATTTTCTTTAAAACGACCCAAATTTTCCATCTAGCCTCTTGACAGGTGACTCACAGCCTCTGCTACCCCATTAGGGCAATGCCTGAATAAAGCCTAACAAAAGGAAACGTTTGAATGTTTGTTCAGGTCAGTCCTTCCCATCATAACAACTCCCAAGGAGCGCGACGGGCAGAAACGGGTGCAGGGAAAACTGGTTATTTGGCAGGCAGGGAAGGGGAAAAAAACCAAACAACAACAAAACAACGAGAGGGTTTCAGTAGAAATTACAAGTTCTCAGTGTTTCACTTGGACCTCGCGTTTCAGGGGAATCGGGGTTTTTTGGGCACGCAGCAAAGCTCTCACGGGAAACATCCCCATCGCTGGAAGATGTTGTCTACCAGAGATAGGCATCTCTCTTCGGGCCATCCCAGGAGGCTTTGTCTGCCTGCAAAGAGGGAAACCAAGCGAGATTAATCTTGCTGAAACCAGGAAGGAAGTCTCTGCCATGCTCAGGGATGGAGGCAGCAGCTAAGAGGGAGGAAAAAGGCAGCACGGAGACGGAGAGCATACCGATGGCCCTGTTGCTGCAAGGTTCATCCTCATAGTGAGGGGGATGAGGCAACATGGTCCCTGCTCTCATGGGGCCTTAGCAATGCAATGGGCAGGAGAGGGCTGGAGACAGGAGAAACCCAGTTTTGCGAGCGGCAGGACCCCTTGCAAGCTGAAAAGGTCAAAGCAGGCTCAGCAGAGCTAGAAGGACCAGTCCCCACCACTGCACCGAGCTGCACGTCCTCAGCTGGAGGAGCAGCGACCTGCGCGCACCTTCCCCTGCAAGATCAAACCAGCTGCTTTAAACATCTCCCAGCCAGTCTACATTAAAGGGCTCCTTCTGACTTTAATTGCAGCGGAAAACAAACAGCAGCACCGTGTCTCGTACACGAGCACGGCTTTAATAAGATCGTGGGAGCCTGCTGGGGTGGCCAGGATGCTTGAGTGGGGAATGCTAGTGGCATTTCCAGGCTCTCCAGGAACTCACCTTGCTTGAGATTTTAGATAAAACCCTGTTTCCCAAAACCCAGCACAAGCCAGCCTCCTGATGTTCATAGACTTGTGAATTTTGTTGGTTCTCAAACCCTCCTGGGGGAGCAAAAGCCTTCACCCACCCCTAAAACCCTTGGAGCTGGAGAGAAGCAGAGCTGGCACGGGGGGCAAGAAGCTCATTGCATCCTCCAAGGAAGTCTGGCCATGGCAGCATCTCTACCGAAGAGGGCTGTAAGTTGGAATTCCCACTCACGGCTGCTGGTCGCACTGGTTTGGACTGGGCATGGTGCTGAGTTTGCCGCCTGCTGTGATTTTAGCATCGCATCCTGCTCGGCTGGTTTGAGCCCTGTGCCGGACAGGGAACACACCTTAATCCCCACGGGGTCAGGCTGGTACGGTCTGTAATCTGGAGGGAGGTGGAGGATGGTGGTTTCAGGTTCCCAGCGAGCATGAGGGCTTCAGCAGAGGGTTTGAGAGCATGAGCTTCTCCAAACCCGTCCGGGATCACACCCATCCAGAAAGGATGGAGACACAATGCTAAAACCTCATCTTCATTTTGGGTTTGGGGTTTAGTCACGGCACATTCTGAGCTGCCACGGTCACTGCGGATGCTAGCTCAAGCCCAAAACACCTTGTCTTCGTTGGGTGGTACCTACACTCACCTATTCTTCCTCCTCCACCTGCTATTAGCACCAACATGCCCGTGCACAGGGAGAATGATGATTTTAAGTCATCTGGCCCATTCAGAGCTGAGTGTTTCTTCCTAATAATACCTTGTCCTGAGAAGTTGCTATTAAGATCCCTGGTACACGACGGATGGGATCCCACCTCTCCATCAGACTGAGTGAACTTGGTCAGCCTTAGTTTTTGGGGCTCACTTCATTTTTTCCCCAATTTCAGCTTGTTTCTAAGCCATAATGGAGCAAGACCCGACCCCCCAGTATTCCCCCAAGAACCCCACTAATAGCCCAGACCCCCTTGGGGCATTTCTTCTCACCCATCCTGCACCGCCACTCCATCAAGGAAAGTTTGATAATCTCCCTGAGACAATAATTACACCTTATTTATTACTTGGCATGCATAATTGCAGGCAGGAACTTTTAAGAACCATGTCAGACTAATTACTGGCAATAGGGCAATGCATTGAACCAGTTATCAAGTCCCACTCAGGTCTGCATGAGGGTTTATTTTCTTTAGGTATTTAGCTGTAACAGCATGGCAGGAGCATCCCAGGCAGGCACCAAGTCTCCTCAGGCGGATCTGCCTTCCTCATCCTGCTTGGAAACCAGGGAAGAAGGGCAGGAGGCTAGTTTGGACCAGTAAAATTGCTTTTAAAGCCAGTAAAACCCAAGAGAGGTTGGTCCCCATCCTGGTAAAACATCCGCAGTCAGGGCTCATCAGAGCTGGCTTTGCAACCACCTTCTCCTGGGTGAGAAAGCACCAAAAATCCCCCTCCACCCTTTCTTCTCCCCAAAACAAAGGCATCTGCCTGCTGGGAGACTTCATGCCTGGCAGTCCAAGAGCAAAGCACCCCATAAAACTATTTTTCCCCGCCAGGGCTGGAGCCATGCACGCACCCCACGCTCACCCTGCTTACACTCTCCCCCAGCTTTGCCTTAAATTTGCTGCCCTATAAATATCCCCCTCTCTGGGGCGTGCTTGATGCCTCCCCCAGGGAGAGCAATAAAGCCACAGGTGGGCTCAGCTTTGCCCAAGCTCCTTCATCCTCGCCAGTGGGTTGGTTTTGCCTCCTCGAAGCTGCCTGACTGCCAAAATAAAGCCAGCGCGGGCAGGAATGGGCAGGAACAGGCAGCACCTCGTGGCTCAGTTGGGACGGGCACCTGTTTGCACCTCTTAAATGTAAAAGGTCAGCTTGAAAGGACTCCATGGAGGGAACATTTCCCTCCTACTCTTTGCAATAAGGCACGTGCATGCAGGAAGGGAGCCACAAAACCACCCCAAAACGTCTTCACCAAGCATCCACAAAGCTTAAAACCCTCTTGCACCCACCGGCTCGATCCTCCTCAGGGAGATGCTGGGTGATGCGCACGTGAAAATCCTCAGGAATCAGCTCGCTGGGGTTGTCTGCAAGCTCCAGCGCTGGGATCTGTTCCCAGGTCCTCGAAATTAGGGCAGGCAGAGATCCATCAGCGGCGGGGAAGTTCATGCAGAGCAGCTCCTAATCTGTCAGATCTGATTTAAAAAAAAAAACAAAACCAAAACAAAACAGAGAACTCCTCTGACCAGATTGACTCTAGCCACAAAACCATGAGCCTCCAGACACCTACGTTGCTGTGTGTGTACATATACATCTATATATAGGTCCTGTGATGGTTTACCATGTCTGATCTCGCACCTGATAGCACAGAGCAGAGCCTGCATCACGAATAGCACTTTTCTCTCCTGAAAAATCCCGTTCTTGCACCATAAAACAAGGTTTATTTAGCAACTTGTGGGGCTTTTGCTGCGATGGGCACAGCCGGGTTCTCACTCTTGTCCCCAGCACTGAACGCAGGCATGGGGTGGATGCCTTGGATGCCTGTAGGGCACGATTGCCCCTCTTCTTCCTCCCCAAATACAGACATTGCAAGGGGTGAGTGCTTTGCCAAAGCCTCCCTAGGAAGGATTTAATATTTTCCCCGCTGCAAATATTGTTCTGCAGCTCTGCAAAGACCCCCCCAGGCTTGCAAAGACCCCAGAAAGATTACAAAGAACCTGTGTGGGTTGTAAAGAACCCCAAAGGTTTGCAAAGTCTCCAGGAAGTTTGCAAAGACTCCAAGAATATTTGAAAGACCTCAGAAGGTTTCCAAAGACCCTGCACAGCTTGCAAAGACCAAACCTGGCTTCCAAAAACCCCAGGAAGCTTGCAAGGACCCCATCCTCCTTCCAATCCCTCAAAGACAGGGACCTATGTGGTGGTGAGGAAATGGGCTCTGCCAGACCCTCGGGCAGCTGGGGCCACCTAGTAAAACCCAGGATCACCCCAAAATCCACCAGGGTTTCAATCCCATCTTTGCTAGCAGGTAGCCCTTGCTCCTAAGGGCCCCCAGGTTTCCTTCTGCCTGGCAAGTGCAGCACAATCACACCAGCTGGATCATAGGGGATATAAATACATTTATATTTATATACAGATGTATAAAACAAACCCTGTGACCAGCTAGAAACACTCTGGCTGATTTTAAAAATCACAAGTGATGTGGTGACCTTGGGTCTTTCTCTAAGATGGGAGGGATTTGGTGTTAGGGTTTTGTTGTTTGTCTTTTTTTTTTAAGAAAAGGAAGATTTAAATAGCATGTGTTTTCCTTACTGACAACTGAAATACTAAATCCTCGGATGCAGGAATTGGGAAGTGAAAGTGGTAAAAGAGAAGCTGCTTTTTTTTTTTTTTTTTTTTTTTTTTTTTCTTCCAAACTGATGGGTTTACACCTCTATTTCCCCAGCCCACAGGTCCCAGGAGAGTACAGGGAAACGAGGTCACCCTGACCCATGCTCTGCTTTGAGGTAAAAAGAGGGAAAATAAGTCTTGTACAAT